GCTATATTGTAGACATAATGCGGTAAATATTATAACTTGTGAAAATATTTTTTAGATTAAAAATTGGTGGGGCGGAGGTTGCTCCCACGACTTAGTTCTAATAGCCAATATCCAATGGGGGAGGTGGCTGTATAAGTAATTGTTCATTGCCACACCTAAAAAAAATAGTTCGGCGCCACTGTGAATAGGTATTGTTAGATTTGACAATATTCATATAGTCCTCCTTATATATAAAGCAAGAAACCGAGGGCGCCCCCTATGCGTTAAATCGGCACTTTATAGGGAACCCTCCAATGAGAAAATTCAATTTCCCCGGAGGGTGGTCTCCCGGCGGCGGCGGAGCCGTCGCAGCGTTATCACTCCTCCTTATCGCTTTTCACGATTTTTCTCGAAATTCACGGTTTTTTTCAACATTTTCGACTCTAACCCCCCTCGGGGCCTCGGGCGGCCCCCGTTTGGACCTTATTCGCTTTCCCCGGTAAATTTACAGTCGGCGCGCGGCCCTACTTTTTTCCCGGGGGGCCCGTCGCGGCCGATATCGCGTGCGATACGAGCGCCGCCGTCGAGCGCGTTTTTTGTCGTTTTTTTCAAAAATTCGAGTTTTGGGCGTTTTAGGGCGTGCGCCCTCCCCGTTTGGATCTTATTCGCGTTCCCTGATAAATTTATAGTTGGCGCGAGGTCCTACTTTTTCAAAAACGAGTCCTCCGGCGGACGAATCGATCGCCGAGATTGCCGTTTCGACGGTTTTCCCGACTTTTTCGACTAGAGTCGCGTTCGGCGCCTTTACGAGACATCCGACCCCCCCCCCCCCCCCGTCGGCGACGTATTCGCTTTCCCCGCTAAATTTATAGCCGGCGCGAGGTCCTACTTTTTCAAAAACTAGTCTAGGGGAGGTTAAACGTGAGCGGAAACGTGAGTAGGTACCGAGTAGGTAGGTACCTTGTATGTATCGCTGTATACAGGCCTAAATACATGCGTCACGAGGTTCGATTTTTTTCGCGAAGCTCGCGTATTATACGTCCGAGGGCGGCGGAGCCGGTCGTCCGCTCGCCGAAGCGGTCGGATCGCCCGCTCAAACGTCCTTTGACGGCCGTCCAAACGGCGTTCGCCTTTCGCGTGCACGGCGACGCTGCTTAAGAGTCATAGATTTGACTCCAGTCTTCAATTCTTCATCTCAATAGGTGGCTATGTAGGTTAGGCGTTAGGACAAGTGACCCGAGGGTCGAGGGTTCGATTCCGGCCGCCAGGATTTTCGATAATTTGCGGCGGCCGTGATAAACCGAATTTCTTTTTTTCGCGTTTTTTTTCTTCGTCGTTTCGCTATCACTTCCGTCTTATCATTTTTAACGTAAATGTGACGATTTCTTTCAAAATTCGAGTTTTAACGCCTCTACTGACTTCGGACCTCCCCGTTTACGACTTATTCGCGTTCCCCGCTAATTTTATATGCCGCGCGCGGCCGTACTTCCTTCCTGACAAGTCCCGGGGCGAAGCCGCGTCGTGGAAAGCGGACGGCCCGAGGCCCCCCGTCGAGTAGGTATCGCTATATACAGGCTTAAATACATATAATTTATATTCGACTCCAGTTCTCAACTCAGTAGGTAGGCAGGTAGGTTTAGGCTTTAATGTGGATGACCCGGGGGTCGTGGTTTCGACGCCGGCCGTCGGGAAAGTCGACAATTTTCGAATATTTTTTTTCGCGTTTCTGATCTGTCCGTTATTTCCGTTAACCGGCTCCGATTGACGTCGCGGAGAGCACGTGAATATATGCGTTGGAGAGCATTTTTTTTACGCGATTTTTTGTTTATGCAGGTCGTATAGGTTCTACCGTTTATTTAATGTTACAATTGCATTCTCATATTGATCTGTAGGTACTGCGTTATGACTCATGTCTTACGTGTATACCGGTATTATAAAATAATCCTACATGTGCAGGGCTGTATTTAGGGATATTTCGCCCCCGGGCACAATATTTATGGCAGCCCTTTCCAACACATTTTTTTTAATACCATAGAAGTGGTGGCTAAATTTTATTTTTTTTTGGGGGGGGGAGGGCATTATAAAACTGGGCCGTCGCATGAAGTCGGATAGTCCACCCGTGTTACTACGGCGAACGTTATTCGAGGTGACTGACACCAGCTATAGACACCCACAAAAATTACTATATTATTTTTTTACCAAATTTCGAATTTCCGGCGGCGTCGTCGGAAAGACTCTGTCAAAGACTCTGCCCTGGCTACCACGGGCTACCACCAGGGCCGGATTTAAACATTATGGGGCCCAGGGCAAAAATATTTTGGGGCCCTAAATGATCCATAACAAAAATTGCATACCTACCTAAACTTATTTCATGCGTAAAATATATTTATAGACTATAGTTACAACTAAAAATAACTATTTATGTTAAATAAATTGAACAAGTCATACAGTAATATATTATTTATTTTATTAATAAAAAAATATAATCTATGGCTAAAATGTATTTAATTAAATATATATATATTAATAAACTGTATCAAAAATTTGTATTTATATTTTTAATAAAGAAAATAGTCAATTAAAAGTTAAGATTATTATTACAGTCATTAACCTATTATGTTTACATAGAAAATAGAATATTATAAATTGCATACTTTTCTTGATTTCTTTTCTGCAAAGTCATCTATAATATCATCAAATGACAGATTATCCAACACATCACTTTCAATGCTCATAACTGATAAAAAGTTCAAACGATCTTCATTCATTGTAGTTCGTAATCTATTTTTTATAATTTTAAATCTTGAAAGCATGCGTGACTTGTGACTGTGTGCGTAGTAAATGATTATTAGTATGTGTACGTGTCTCGCACTACACGTCTTCATCCTGTAATACTCGCTTTACTTCTTATCTGCTAATTGACAAATAACTACATCAATGTATAGTAATACACTAATACATAATAATAATCATTGCATATAAAATAACAATACGCACATAATGTATATTAATTTATTAAATATTTCTGAAAACTGATTTGAATCCGTTATTATGTATGTCTACTAGAGATCGATCAGTCAACATTTTAAAAATTCTGAATTCCGAATAATTAATATTCAAATTCAGAAATTTCAAAATATTCAAATTAAATTATAGTTGTTGTTGGGGGAGGTGGTAAAATTGGGAAAAGTGGACTGACCGTTCTCAATTAGATATAATAACGAATTCAAATCAGTTTTCAGAAATATTTTTGCATTATTAGGTCGATCGGTAGAATGGTCAAAAGATAGGTATGTTTTGACTAAAATAACTGCACGTCACCGATCCCCTTAATATCCATTCTCTAATTATTATAATAAATTTATAAATATAAATTTATATATAAATATTTTCTACTTCGTATAGATTATTAAAATTATTTAATTTTAAATTTATTATAAATATTACTTACTTAAACAATTGAACAGTACAGGCTCATGAGTATTCTTGGCTGATCATAATGAAGTAACGAGATTTAGTCGAAAAGTGGAATGTACAAAATAATAAATAATTCACAATAAAGGCATAAACGCTATAAACAGCGATAAGCCGATAACGATTATAGACGTCTTGAATTTTCCAACATTTTACATTGTGATTTGTGACAGATTACATTATGATTTTTATATATACTCGTATAAACATACACATGTAATTATATAACCCGCAACTTTACGTCACCGTGATAATGCAATAACAACAACTGTAGTATACTACAGTCATTACCCCATAATGTTTAAATCCGGCCCTGTACTGTAGTACAATTTAATTTATATTTTATACCTAATTCATTTTTCAAAACTATATTTTTTTTAAAAATATAGTTTGAGAACCCAAAATTTGGGTTCCAAATTGCAATTTTATTTTTTTAATTTTTTAATTTTTTTTTTTCATTTCTGATTCGAGTCTCGGGGGCCCCTAAAACTTGGGGGCCCGGGGCATATGCCCTTAATGCCCCCCGTCAAATCCGGCCCTGGCTACCACGTCGAACCGCAGTGGTCCTAGCCTTATCACACATCCAGACATCCTTATCGGCATACCACCTCTTCGCCGATATACCGTGTCGGCTCGAGACCGCAACTCGCAAGTCCGCACCACGTCGAGACCACCGCAGCTTCCGAAATCGACAACACTCATGACCCACACCCTAACCACCTGTACAGAAATGATAAGAATTTATCAATTAAATAATTAACATCCGAAAGTATTGAGTGTTTAAGATTTAATAAAAGGGAAAGCACTAACCAGTATCATTTTTTCTTTGTTTAAACTTCTTCCCGTATTTCACTCAGTATCCATTGACCATACTTCAGTAGTTAAAATTAAGATATTTATAACAAGATTATAAGGAATAACATTATAACTGTTCGAAACTTAATTAAATTTTTTTTTTTAAAGTTACTTAATATAAATAACAAAACAATGAAGTATGATAATGAGGAATTTTCTTAAAATCAAAATATTTGAAATAACATCTTACACACACACAAATATTATTTATAATGATTATAAATGTCACACATGTATTCACACACTTTTGGACTTAAAGCGAATAATGATGCAGGTAATTGATCTAAGACAATTTAGAAAACCAATAGACAGAATGACATGTATAATAAATTACAAACATTTATTTTTCAAATATTTTTAGAGAGAATTTAATAAAATTATAATCCTAATATTTTTGCCTATAAGACAACTTTGGATATTTAGGAATGTCTAAAAAAAATTCCATATAAGTAAATAATTATCAAATAAATACATTTAATTATATTCTCTTTTCATTCAGTCAGTATAAAAAAATTATAAATCAAAAGCAGACGTGCTATGATAAAGGAATGATTTGAGCTGTAAATAACTTACTGGAATGTAGGCCTAATGCATCGGATTTTTTTTTATAATTTTGATTCTTATTTAAATAAAAAATACAGGAAAATTTAAATAAAAAATACAGTTTTTTAGGAAAATAAATATAAAAGTATTTAGAAGAGTGCTCTGTGCACAATGGATGGGCCTGATTCGTCGTACTCCTGTTTGGAGATCCACATCAGGAAGGTAGGCAGAGAAGCCAAGATGGATCCTCCAATCCATACGGAGTATTTTCGCTCAGGTGGAGCAATTATCTTGATTTTCATTGTAGATGGGGCCAAAGCAGTAATTTCTTTCCGCATTCTGTCGGCAATACCAGGGAACATGGTGGTACCTCCAGACAATACAGTGTTGGCGTACAATTCCTTACGGATACCTACATAGCACTTCATGATGGAGTTGTATGTAGTCTCGTGGATACTGCAATGGAGAAATTGTGCTATGTTACCTGGAATTCGAACAAGAAAGTAGTCCAAAGCAACATAGCACAATTTCTCCTTGATATCACGAACAATTTCTCGTTCAGCAGTGGTGGTGAAACTGTAACCACGTTTGGTTAAGATTTTCATAAGGTAGTCAGTGAGATCACGGCCAGCAAGATCGAGACGAAGGATGGCATGAGGTAAAGCGTAACCTTCATAGATTGGGACAGTGTGAGATACACCATCACCAGAATCCAAGACGATACCAGTGGTACGACCAGAAGCATACAATGAAAGTACAGCTTGGATGGCAACATACATAGCAGGGGTGTTGAATGTCTCAAACATGATCTGTAGACAAAACACGTGGTTAGCAAACTATTAAGTATTTTGTGTTTGACAACAATTTATTTTCAAATTAAGATAAATATTTACTTGTGTCATCTTTTCACGATTAGCCTCAGTTCAATGGAGCTTCTGTTAGTAATACTGGGTGTTCTTCTGGGGCTACACGCAATTCATTGTAGAATGTATGATGCCAAATTTTTTCCATATCGTCCCAGTTGGTAACAATACAGTGTTCAATGGGGTATGTCAAGGTAAGGATATCTCTTTTGGATTGGGCTTTATCTCCTACATAGCTGTCTGTTTGTCCCATACCGACCATGACTCCCTAATAATAAAAATAATAAGTTAATATTTGAATGGCATAAGCTTAAAAATTAAAATATTTACCTGATGACGGGGACGTCCAACAATAGACGGGAATACGGCACGAGGTATGTGTTCTCCGGCAAAACCGGCTTTGCACATACCGGATCCATTGTCTACAACCAATGCGGCTACTTCTTCGTCACACATATTGAATTAGTTTTTAATTTATTTAAACTGTAACAAATAATAAATAAATGTAGAACTTTCATAAATTTATAACCAAGTATAAACAAAAGTAAATATTTACTAATCACTTAGGTATAAATATTGTAGACAATAAATTAACTATTAATTAACCTAATAAATTGATAAGACTATGATCTAAATAGTGAAATTACTAAAAGTATAAAAAAAAAGCACAAATAGGAATATTTACAATTATAAGAATCTCACTGACTACCTTATGAAAATCTTAACCAAACGTGGTTACAGTTTCACCACCACTGCTGAACGAGAAATTGTTCGTGATATCAAGGAGAAATTGTGCTATGTTGCTTTGGACTACTTTCTTGTTCGAATTCCAGGTAACATAGCACAATTTCTCCATTGCAGAACCGGTTGTTGGAAATTCTAGACACAAATGTGATATTTTTAGGAGAGACAATTTTGCCAACTGCTAATACATAATCTTTTTGTGGGATGCCGTCAATAGAGTTGAAGACTATCGCCTGGTCTCTCGACGGTGTTTTGTCATTTGCGGCGATTGTTGCAAATGTGATACCAGTATTATTGTGTTGTGGAATATTTATGTTGCCAATGTTAATTGGAGACGACGGTGTCGATGGATAATTGAATACGGTGAAGTTTTTATCGATATTACTAATGGGATCGTTAGCGATAGAGGCATTATGCAATGTAGATAGTGCGGCGGAGGTACTGTGATTAGCAGCCGCGTTATCGCTCGCTAATGATGTACCCGGACTGGATTGTTGTTTTGCGATTTGATTGTTGAGTTTAGTTGGTGTTGTAATAATTTTGGAAGGCTTACTTGGAGGTTTGATAGTAATATTTTTTTTTTGTTTTTGGGCTGTTGCACCTATGGTAGGAGGTTTTAACCTAGGTGAGGACCCTTTGTGGGGGTTGGCTGACATGCTGGGGGATTTAATGTTCAGATAATGTTCATATTACCTGAGACGATTTAAGTAAGATGTGCTATCGGAAGCTTGATAAATGCGAACTCGCGATACACACGTGTTAAACGTTCGAAGGTTGAACACGTATTATAATAAATTGTTGTAATGGCTGATTTCACTTTATGATTAAATAGGTTATAGGTCTCGGTTAAGTAAGAAAACATTGTAGATTTTAAAATATTATGTAAAATTCATAATACCTATCATGCGTTGTACGATTAATTTTAGTCTATAATGAATAATGTCGTCTCTATATAGTTTATCCATAGTAAAATTGTAGGTATTTATTTTATATATCTTGTTAACTATTAAGTATAATAATATAATATTTATTTCTATTATTGTATGTATTCGGTGTTAAATTTTTTTTTTTTAAACTTGAATTTTATAATATTAGGTATCTATCTTTAAATTGTAACAAAACGTAATTAATTTGATTTAATTTACTTAAAATGGAAAATAAAAAGAGTAATTACCTTTTTAAAAATAACGAGCACTTAATCTTATAAAATTAGATGTATAAAAAAAAAATTAATATACTCACGGTTGTTTTTCGATGAGTTCACGACAGTTGCATAATGTATAGTGTTACACCGACCGTTGATCGAAATGGAATAAACGAGACACGAGTAGTGGATGGGAATAATCGAGAGAAATTACTCAAAATACTCGATTGTTGGTTATGTTATTTATAGTTTATACAAATTACACACTAATACACTATAATATTTATTAATAAATCATTAATTTATGTTTATAGTCTATAAATATAGGTATTCCTTAATCCTTATAATATATATGGGTATGGGACATGGGTACACACCACACACGTTTATATTATTAATAATATTATATTATACGCATTGAATAACGAAATAATAATATTATGTAGATTGAAGATTCTATATATAATATCTATTATTTAGATTGTGGATATTAATTATTTATGTTTATTTTCATTTTTCATTTCTCTCCTTCATGTGGTCTGATGTCAAATTAAGTTGTTTTACAATTCGTACAATTTTTTTTTATTTTAATGAAGTATTAACTGATATTTTAAATATAATTAATAATAAATCCATTTTTTGAAAAATCTTGTTTTTTTTTTATAACTTTATGAATATAAAATAAGTAATAACATTATACATTTTAACAATTATATTTTAGATTCTGAGTGAAACGATGAATGTATTGATTTTACAATGATGTGTGTTTTTTTTATTTTTTTTTGTGTCTGTCATCACGTCTTAGGACAGTAAAAGTGCTTGGATTTTCTTCAACAGTAGCTTTTCTGATAGGAAAGTGAATCTAGTTGGTACTTTGGGGGTCAAAAGTAAAAAGTTCTCAGTAGTTTTCACAAGCGCCGGAATATACAACATAAAAATTAAGGAAAAATGGGAATTTTTACGCAAAATCGGTTTTCCAAAAAATAGATTTTGATTTTTGGTGTAACCCTAAATCAAATGAACGTATATACATGAAATTTTCACTGGTTGTTTATATTTGCATTTTCTATACACGATAACACTTTCAAATATTTTGATTTATTTTGAACTGTTTAGGGACATTTTCATTTTCCATTTGTTTTTAGTTTTTTTTCTAAAAATATCAATAAAATTTTATTTGTTGGTTGCGAAAGCTTGAAAATTTAATAGAAGGCTCCTTATTAATATATTGTTTCAAAGGTAGATGAAAAATATTAAAAATCCTTAAACACAATTTTTTTTATAAGTAATTAAAGTTCAAAAATTTACCAAATATGGAAAAATCACGAAAATTAGCGAATTATTTTGAGTTAAGAATTCGTAAAAATTTTTCTTTTTAAATCTAAGATTTGAAAATGTAATACAAGATTTCTTATAAGATTATCTACCTTTATCAAAAAAAAAAAAATGTCTATAAGAAAGTCAAATTAAATTTTTATGAGCGTTTGAAATTCAAATTTTTACAACATTGGATATTCACTCGATTTCTCATGTAGCCATTTCCTTATTTTGTTGTAATCCAAAAACGAATAACTGTAGATACATGGAAATTTCACTGAATGTTTAAATTATCATTTTCTATGAACCATACAATTTTGACTTTTTTTGAGCTGTTTACGGACATTTTCAGTTTTCAATTTTTTTTAGTTTTTTTTTCTATAAATATCAATTCAGTTTTATCTGTTGGGCCAAAAACTGTAAAAATTTAATACAAGACTCCTGATATTGTTACAATATCAGTTCAAAAACATTGAAAATACATAGGCACAATTTTTTTTTATAAGCATTTTAAGTTGAAATTTTGACAAAATGTATCGAAATCTCGAAAATTATCAATCATTGTAATTAATAAATTATAAAATGTTCAGTTTTTATAGCTAAGGATTGCAAATTTAAAACAAAGGTTCTCATAAATAGGTCATACTGTAACCGAAAAATCTAAAAAAAATATATGAACACAGTTATTTTCTACAGACATTTTAAATTCAAATTTGAACGAAATTATATATTAAAAAAACTTAGAATAACTATTTTAGTTATTTTGTTGTGATTGGATAATATTATTCGTGGGCAGGGGCGGACTGGCTTCTTTAGAGCGGCCCGGGAATTTTTTTTAAAGTGGCCCAAAAACTATTGTCTAACCTAATTATAACATTTATGTTTAAAATACGACACATTTTTTCCATTGCATATTCAAAATATAAATAATAACAGCAGATATATAATGCGTTTTAGGTAATATATTTAATTTATTGGCTTAAGGAATTAATAATTTATGAAATGTTTTGCTTTTTTAGGCTAAACGGTCTATAACCGTTTGGTGCTGTATGTAAATTAAAATATTTTTTTCTGTAGCCATTAAGACAAAAGCTTCTAGATTATTCCGTGTCATGCTATTCCGAGAAGACAATTTCATTCATTTTTATAGTATAAAAAACAATTAAAAATTTAATAAATTAATTCATATTTATTTTATTATTTAAATATGTTGTTGTTGCATACATATTAATATATTATTAATTATAATTTAGTAAAATAGTTCACGACTCACATTGTATTGCCATTTGCCGCGCAAACCAAATTTTACAAAATTGTCTAAAATAGTATTATCTTCTATATTTATCTTACCTTTTAAAAGGCGATATCGGGATCGTAAATATTCAAAAGGTACGTGCTTCTTTCCAGTAGTCAATGCAAAATATAAATTAACTATTATTAGTTATTACAATATTACAGACGACAGACTCGTGAATGAAATACGAAAACAGTATATATTATTTTTAAATAATATTATATTGAATTATCGTATACAAACAAATAGTGATACCGTCACTGATACAAACCCAAATGGTTGCCGGATGCGTTATTGGCTATTATTTCTATTTATATAAACTAAAATTATTTTTATAACTGTGTCTTAGAACAACAAAATATAATTTTTGGTATGATTATTATCGTATTATTTATGTTATATTTTATAGATTTTAAATACACCAAATACTGAATACTGTATTATTAAAATTTAAAAATCATAATATAAGTTAGTTATTTGTACAATCAAACTGCCCCGCCCGAGACGGCCTATAATCCCATTATTCGACCGGCCCATCGGGAAATTTCCCGATCTCCCGATCTGCCAGTCCGCCCCTGTTCGTGGGTACTTGAAACTTCTAAAGTGTACTATTATATATCTATGATAGTATCACGGTTTTTGTTGATGTATAATGCGTTATAAGTACCTAATGGATATTGTGATATGATTAATTTGGAATTTATTATAGGTACCTATTATAGGTCAATTTTTTGTTTAATATCATAGATATGTATATAATATGTCTTATACCTAGACTGACATACCATCTCCGCTCAGAATCGTTTTTCTTATACAATGATATTATATCATTGAACTCAAATTTAATACTATACATTATACAGTTACAGACTTGTAACCTACTGTACGGCAGAGCGACACCCACTTGCCCACCTTTTTTTTTTTTTTTATAAATTATTACCTATTATTATTATATTTGTTTTTCATAGACAACAATAATTTTGACAAACAAATTTTTTATTTATTCCTTTTTTTTTTAAATTATTTAACATAATGCACAATATTCATCGTTTTTGACAACAATTATACCATAATATTATGATATAATTGATAATTTATTTATTTGCGGCAGACCGCATACTATATTTGTAAATTCACCGGTAAACCGCATACTATATGCAGCCCTACGGTTGTATTTGATGTTGACAACCGCAGTGAATCGTCCAAATGCACATCAGTCAAACGATTTCTGTATTTTTTTTTACAAAGCACAACTGTAGAACTGTACACGAAAAAGATTGTCAGTACGTTTTTCACTATTTTTTTATCGGTATAGGTACTTCTTTTCCGATTACCGTATTATGTTAGGGACTTGTATAGGCAACACATCGTACCGATTCTTATCAATGTCTAGCTAGGTCAATAATAACTGATAAGTTTGTAGTTTTAGACTTTTTGGTTTACAGACATTCACATTTTGTAATGTCTATAGCCATGGTCTATACTCTATTGTCTAACTCGCGTCTCATAGTTGAATAGTTCAAACACGACACACGTAAGTAAGTAGTTGTCTGAGTTCTCTAAAATTTTAAATATTTGCTTAAAGTAACTTACTTAATGATTTACTGCTACTGTTACTGTTTTTAGTTCTCAAGAATACACGATACACATTGTATTATATCATGGTTTTCAAAACTGAAATATAATAATATGATGTAGGTACCTACGACTACGAGGAACTAGGAAGTCAAACCAATTTATTGAACATTTTTGAGAATTTGATTTTCTTTAAGACAATTCTACAGGCCAAGTATACATTATAAATATTGCAATGATTCAAGTAAGTTATAAAAACATTAATAATTAATATTAACCTGAATACGAAAACTTAAAGGTAAGAATATTATTGTGGGCACCTCATG